CGCTGTTGCGCTGCGAGCTTCCCTGTCTGGCTTCCCCACCTCCACCCTGGAGCTCACACTCTCCATCGTCTCCCTTTCCAACTCCTCCTGCAAACTTCAAGAACTCCATCCCAAGCTGGTTCCAGGATCCAAGACTGAGAACAGAAAGGGCAAGGTACTCCATACTGCACAACATGGTGCCAAGAAGAAGTCAAAAAGCAGCCTCAAGGGCTAGGGGGTCAAACCCAAGTCGTGCACATGAGGCACAAACTTACAGAGGCCTGGGAGAGACATGGAAACCAGGTCCATGCATCAAGACCACAAAGGAGGTACAAACTGGAGCCGGGAGAGATTCTCCAGGCACCTGGGCAAAGCAGAACAGGGCTCCTCTCATAGGACCCCTAAACCCTCACCTGTAGCTAGGGAAGAGACCTGAAAAGAACTGATTAGGGAAGGATGACTGTTCTATACGAGTGCATGTTTTTGCCTTATGACCTGGCTACACTGGCATGAGGTGACAAGGAGCTGACAGAAAACACTGCAGGCACCTGAGCTGTGCACCTGCTGTAGGGCCGATCCTGGCAGGGGCTCTCACACACACACAGCTACCCTGACCACTGATTAACCCCAATCTAAAACTGCAACCTTCAGCCCCACCCCCAGCCCAGCCTGCTGGTCCCACGGGCAAGTCAGAGTTGACTTCAGCTCATTCTCCACACCTAAACCTGCCCCTTTACTGGATGCCCCACCCCAGAAAAGAACCCCCACATGTACAGTCCCTCAGGTCAGGAATCCTGGGGAGTCCCCTCTCTCCCTGCCCTCCCACCCAGCCTTTCAATCTCCCACACACCTGCAGACCAGCATGGGGTTTACCCATTCACTGATTCCCTGGCTAGCTTTCCCTCCCAGCTGCATTGAGGTATAACTGACAGATAAAACTGTGTACTTTTAGGGTCTGCAACATGATGACTTGATATACATATATCCTGTGGAATGATGACAGCATTCAGGTTAGGTAACGCATTTACCAGCTCACCTCATTACCATTTTGTCTAAGCACATTTAAGATCTACTCTCGGTGCAAAATTGAAATCTACACGACAGTTAAGCGTACTCACTAAGCTGTATATGAAATCCCCAGAATTTGTCCATCTTGTAACTGAAACCAACATCTCCCCATTTTCCACCCTCTGACTGTAGCAGCCACCATTTTACTCGCTGGTTCTACGAACTCTTTTTTCAGAGTCCACATAAAAATGAGATCATGCACTACTTTTCTTTGTCTGAGTTATTTCATTTAGAGCGAAGCAGTATTTTGTTTTTATAGCTGAATAAATACTCCACTGTGTGTCTAGAACTCAACCTCCTTACCCACACACCCGTGAGTAGACACTGGGCTGTTTCCACACGGCTGTCGTGAATAGTCCTGCACTGCACATGGGCGTGCAGATGTCATTTTCAGACCTTGAGTTCATTTCTTTCTGCTATGCACGCAGACTGGTATAACCTTCTGAAAAGTCTCCACACCCTCTCCATCATGACAGTGACTGTCTACATGCCCCCCGACAGTGCAGAGGGATCACTTTTATATCCATGCTAGCCAACACTTGTTACATCATTGTCTTTTTGATAACAGCCGTCCTATCAGAAGTGAAGGGATATCTCATTGTGGTTTAGACTTGGATTTCCCTCACGATTTGTGATGTTGACATATTTTCATATATACATGTTGGCCATTTCTTATTCAGAGTTCATTGTTAATGTTAGAAAAATCCAACTGATTTTATATGCTGATTCTGTGTCCAGATACTTCACTGAATTTGTTTCTTATTTCTAGCCATTTTTTGATGATTCTGTAGGATTTTTTTATATATAAGATCATGTCATCTGCAAACAGAAATAATTTTACTTCTTTCTTTCCAATCTGGATGTCTTTTATTTATTTTTCTTGCCTAAATGCTCTGGCTAAGACTTCCAGGACTATGTACAACAGAAATAGTGAGAGTGGACATCCTGGTCTAGTTCCTAACCTTAGAAGAAAAGCTTTCAGCCTTTTAACTTTGAATACGATGTTAGTTACGAGCTTGTCACATGCCTTTTTTATGTTGAAGTATATTCTTTCTAACCCTAATCTGTTCAAAGTTTTTATCCTATTAGGAGACCTTGGGTTGTTGATGCCATTTCCTTACTTTCCATCCATTTACGTTTTCTCTCTCCTGATTCTCCTCAGTAAGGTGAATGATTGCAGGGCTGCTTTCAGGTGGCCCAATTCACTGCTCGTAAGTGTCTCTTATTAGCCTTTGTATTTCTGTGGACTCCATTGCAATTAGTGGCTCCTCTTTCATTTGTAAGTTTATATATTTGAGTCATCTCTTTTTTTTCTTGGTTAGTCTAGCTAAGCTCTTGTGAATTTTATCTTTTTAAAAAAATATAACTCAGATGTGGAGCTGGAGAAGCAGGGTCCTCCCTCAGTGACAAGAGGAAGAAGGACCCACAGGGGCACCCATGGACCAGGCCCATCCACACAGGACTTGTGCAGGCAAAGGTGCCCACCTCACAGAGTGCACAGACCCTAGTGGGTGAACCACAGCGTCCTAGGGAGCAGCGGTGGGTATGCCGGCCACCAGGGTGCAGGAGAGCAGGGCAGAGGGGCAAATGAGAGACAGACTCAATGTGGGGTTGACCCTGACTGCATCACATTCAGGCGAGAGGACAGCAGGGAGACCTGCAGTCAGCAGCCACTGGGTTTCGGCTATGATGCAGGTGCCCAGGCACCATCAGGCACAGGGCAGTGACAGTAACCCCAAGGGGCAGCTGGGGCCACGTGCTCTGTGCTGAACAGTGGATCAGGTGAAGGCCGCCTCCTCTCCTGCACCATCCAGAAAATACAACCAAGAAGCGAGCTGCATGCTCTCTGTGGGTCGACCAGGAAGCCAGAACTGTCTGTGTTACAATGCACTGCGGGGCTAAAGGTGTCTCTTTTGGGTAATTACAAAGGTGGGGTTTTCTTAAGCCTGACTTTTCCTTAATACACGTTTAAAGACCTTTAAACTGATTCTACTCAAGTTGAGATTTTTAAGAATTCCATTTCTAATTTGTAATAAAAGTTTACAACTTAATCTTTTCAAAACAGTCAAACTGCAAGCACCTGCTATAAAGGTCTGCCTCTCTAATAAATAAATATATCTTTAAAAGTAAAAAAAAATCTTGAGTCTCAGTTTCAGTGACACATTCTCTTGTTTCTCTAGTCTCTATTTTGCTTATTTCTGCTATAATGTTTATTATTTCCTTCCTTATGCTAACTCTTGGCTTAGTTTGGTCTTTTGCAAGTTCTTTGAGGTATATAGTTGGGTTCCTTGTTTGAAATCTTGCCTTTTTCTCACTGTGAGTTTCTTTCTTTAAACAGCTTTTGTTCCACGCCATAAATTTTGGTATGTGGTGTTTCTATTTTCATGTGCCTCCAGATTTTTACTTCCTTTTTAGTTTCTTTCTTGACTCACTGGTTGTTGAGGAGTGTGTTGTTTAATTTCCACTTATTTGTGAATTTTCCAACTTCCCCATTAAGGATTTCTAGCTTTATCCCATCATAATACGAAGCATGCATACTGGGATTTCAGTCCTGCTGAATTTGGAATTTGTTCAGGCTTCTTTTTGGTCCTCTTTGTCCTGGGAGTGGACCCGTGTGTCTTCTGCTGTTCCTTCATGGGCTCTTCTGTGCCTGGCCATTGGGTCCGTCAGGTCTAAGGCACAATTCAGGTCCAGTGCTTCCTTATTCATGTTCTGCCTGCATGATTTGTCCATTGTTGAAAGTGGTGTACTGGAGTCTCCTGCATGGTTATGTTGCTGTCTACTTCTTCCTCAGTGCTGTTTGCACTTGCCTTGTAGACCGACATTCCTGGCCCAGTGCTGGGTGCCTCTGTAACTGAAAGATCTTCTCGATGGATTGACCCTGCTATCAAATAATGATCTTCTTTTGTCTCTTTTTATAGGTATTGCTCTGTGTCTCATATAGAGCTGTCTCTGCTCTCTTTTGGTTTCTGTCTGTATAAAATCTCTTTCCAGTCCCTTCACGTCCAGCCTATTAGTGTCCTTAAAGCTAAAGCCTGGTCAGAGCCGCAGCTGCCTGCCTTGGTTCTCTCATCTCCCTTCATCCATCAGCATGACTGTCACAGCAAACTCCCGTCCACACAGCGGGACACAGTGGCTACAAGGGAGCAATCCCTTGCCTGGCCCGAAAGGCTTCATGGAGGCTGAGTTCCAGCCTCAGGACTCACTGCCTCCCTTCCGATGATGCTCAACAGTGTAGAAGGACACAGTTCCACAGTCCCCCAGTGTGCCACCACTGCCTGGGCTCTTCTATCGTGACCATAAGCACCACCCATGTTTACCTCTCACTCTATTCAAGTACAATGTTGAATACTACACACATAGTAGGGCTCTTGGAAATAGGTTTTATTGCTATTTCCAATTTTCCAGATGAGGAAAAAGGCATCAAGAAGTTAAGAATGGACCCAGGGTAATACAGGTGCACACAGTGGGCAGAAAGGATTTGGCTCCAGTTCTGACCCTGAAGCCCACGTTGCAGCCACCAGACTGTGCTGACTCCTGCATGCATGCCCGCTGGCCCATGGAATCCACTCCCGCCTTCTACCAGCATGCCACTGCCCGGTAGAATTCATTTCCCTTCACACAGACTCTCCCTCATGTGGTTCCTCCCACTGCTGCAGAACAACTGGGGGCCTTCCTGATCCCAGCTGCAACTGCTGGTCCCACAACAGTTCTGGGGGCACTGTAATCACTACATGTGGTACATGGCAGACGTTGGTAGTTTGCTGAGTAATTAGTGAAACTGGTTAAAAACAAGTACAGTACAAAGACAGAAAATATTGGCTAATTTGAAGAATGAAAACCAGAGTTTATAACAAATCACTGTAGAGCTTGCTGGTCAAGTCAGAAAATCCTCATAGAAAAGTAAAAAGGCAAGCTGCCACCACCCCTGATCTACAGGAGAATCTCCTTACTTCCGAACGCCTCCCAGAGGAAAGACCTTCTCTCCAATCGTGGCCAGCACGCTATTCCAATCTGACAGACTGAATTTGGGGATAATAATTTTTATAGGTGGGATAAATAATCTTCCATTTGTGAAAACACTGTAAGAATAAAAAGAAAAGCATTTGAATGTCAGCACCTTAAATTTGAAGGAAATCATTAAAAATTCAAAAACACTATACACACACACACACACACACACAATCACAAAACTGTAAAGACAATGGCATGCACTGAGCAGCCCCTGGGAGTGCACGCCACGCAGGTTCAGAGGGCTGCCATCAGGCTGTGCAGAGCATCCTAGAGCCTGCTGACCTGATACTGACATTAGGAAAATGTCTTTTGATCCAACCTTAAATGCCCAGATGAACAAGACAGAATTCTACTTTCAAGTGTATATGTTCCCAACTGCTATGATAGATAAGATGGAAGAAAATTGCATTCATTTGGAAAACCAAAGGAGAAATTACATCTTGAAAAATGCAGCGATTTTCCCTTTGCAATGAACAACAGACTCCCAAAGGAGACCACATGCAATCCTTTGGAAACACAAGGGACACAGTGACTTCACTCCTCAGTTTCAAGGCCACTTCAAGGTGGTCCAGTGGGCTGACTTCATAAGTGCTGTCTGTTCGGCCTAACAGGCTACTTGGCAGATTTTCAAATCTCAGTGCGAACATTCTTGGTCCTCTTTTGTTGCTGAGCTGCTACCACGTTATCAGAGCCACTTGACAATGCTTAAACTGACTGCAATCTTGAAACTCAAATTAAAGTAAGGTGAAATATAGGCTATATGTTTAAGTTTCAAAATAATGAGTGATATCATGATACCCTTTAAGAATACATAAACCCAGTGTTGCTGTTGTAGATTTTTATATTTTTATCATAAGCATATAAACTTACAGGGAAATATCTGTAAAAAACAAATTTTAGGGGCTGCTGCTGTAGCCTAGCAAACTAAGCTGCTGCTTGGGACGCCATAATCCCATCTCAAGGTGTCCCATGTTGGAGCACCAGTTGGAGCTCCGGCTGCTCCACTTCCAATCCAGATCCCTGCTAATACACATGGGAAAGCAGTGGATGACGACCTAAATACAACTGGGCCCCTGCCACCCACATCGGAGACCCAGATGGAGATCAGGACTCCTGGCTTTGGCCTAAGCAGCTCCAGCCACTGCGGCCATCTGGGCAGTGAAGTAACAGATGGAAGATCTCCTTTCTCTCTCTCTCATTCTCCCCTTCAAAGAAATAAATAAATATTTTTTTAATATTTTAAATTTTTAAAATAAAATAAACATTCTACTGCATAATAGGATAACTCCAGATAATGAGACTCTACTATAGATTTCAAAAATGCTAGAAGAAAGGGTTTTGAATGTTTTCACCACAAAAAGATGTTTGAGGAAAGACACATAGCTACACGATTCTGAACATTATACAACATAAATATATATCAAAGCATCACTTGGTACCCCATAAATATGAACAACTTTATGTGTCAAGTAAAATTTAATTAACAAAAATACAACAGCAAAAAAGAGAGATGTAGTAAAATTTCAAGCTCAGAGGAAGAAGTAGACTGAATACATCTCCGGATGCTTCCCAGGTGAGCTGAACAACCAATCTGGATCCTTCTGGTAACAGCAGGTTGTTCAAGGGTTTGGAGCTCCACCTTCCACCTGTAGGGTGGGTGGTCAACCCCAGGTAACCATGCCCCCCCCCATTTCCCTGGGAGGCTCAAGGAGAGCTGATAGGTGGGAGAGTTTTGAGAATACTGTGAGGCCATCTTTGAAAGCACAATTTATCTGTATGTGCTGACAGGAAACCATCTCCAAGACAATCACGTGGTAAAAAACATGAAGGTTCACACAGTGTATGCAGCACGCGTATACCCATGAATGCTTGGGTGCATAGCCACTGAGGAGGAGACTTAAGACATATAAACAGCGGCTGCCTCTGGGGAACCCCATAGAGAGCTGAGTTAGGAAACAGAATGAAGAAGCCAGCATTGTGGTGCAGTGAGTTGAGTCATTGCTACACTGTCAGCATCCCATATGAGCACCAGTTCCAGTCCTGGCTGTGCCACTTCTGATCCAGCTCCCTGATAGTGAGCCTGGGAAAGCAGAAGATGGCCCACGTGTCTCGACCCATGCATCCATGTGAGAGATGTGGATGGGGTTCCAGGCTCCCAACCTTGACCTGGCCCAGCACCTATTCGTTGTGGCCATTTGGGGAGTGAACCAGTGGATAGAAGCTCTCTCTCTCTCTCTCTCTCTCTCTCTCTCTCTCTCTTTCTTTCACACACACACACACACTCTGCCTTTCAAATAAATGAAAATATTTTTTAAAAGTGGAATGAAGACATTTTTTACTTTGTACCTTTTAAAACTATATGTTTATTACATGTAACTATATGATAAATGTTATGACTTTTTTCTGGCTATAAAAATAATTAATTTAAAACATACCATTGAAGTAAGAGAAAGGCATAAATTACTTTAAAATTGTATCTCCTAACATGCTGCTCTTCAATAGCAAATAGGGGGGCCAGCACTGTGGTGTAGCGGGTAAAGCTACACCTGCAGTGCCAGCATCCCATATGGGCACCAGTTCAAGTTCTGGCTGCTCCACTTCCAATCCAGCCCTCTGTTATGGCCTGGGAAAGCAGAAGATAGCCCAAGTGCTTGGGACCCTGCACTCATGTGGAAGACCTGGAAGAAGCTCCTGGCTCCTGGCTTCAGATCAGCTCACTTCTAGCCATTACAGCCATTTTGGGGAGTGAACCAGCGGATGGAAGGTCTCTTTCTCTTTCTTTCTTCTTTCTCTCCCTCTCCCTCTCCCTCTCTCTCTCGCTCTCTCTCTCTCTCTCTCTCGCCTCTGCCTCTGCCTCTGCCTCTACCTCTACCTCTCTGTAACTCTGCCTTTCAAATAATAAATAAATCAATCTTTTAAAAGTCCACTGTTTTAAAAAGTCCAATCTTTTAAAAGTCCATTGCCTCTCTGTAACTCTGCCTTTCAAATAATAAATAAATAAATCTTTCAAAAGTCCACTGTTTTAAAAATAGCAAATAGGAAAAATAAATATTTTAATAGAGAAAATTTTTGATATTTTAAAACAAGAAACATGGGGATGGAGTTGTGGCATAATGGATTAAGCCACCACCTGCTGTGCCAGCATCCCCTATCAGCACCAGTTCGAGTCCCAACCTCTCCACTTTCAATCCAGCTCCTTGCTAATGGCCTGAGAAATCAGCAGAAGGTGACCCAAATCCTTCGGTACCTGCATGCACGTGGGAGACCTGGATGAAGTTCTTGGCTCCTGGGTTAAGCCTGGCCCAACCCAGGCTGTTGCAACCATTTGAGGAGTGAACCAGCAAATGGAAGACCTCTCTCTCTCTCTCTCTCTCTCTCTCTCTCTCTCTCTTTCTCTCTCTCTCCCTTCTTCTCTCTGTAACTCTGCCCACCAAAATAAAAATGAATAAAGTCTTTAAATAAATGCAGCATATGGACATAAAGATGGATTTCAGGCAAGGGAGCTGGTGATGAGAGCCGCCTCATCCACACCAACCATTCACACTTCACACACTGACTCTAATCCCTCCAGCAAGTCAGATGTGCAGGAGCTGCAATCTGGTGATAGGTGAAGTGAGCCCAGAGTGGTCAAGTGTCTATCCCAAGGAACTCAGGGGTGAAGTGGAGAGCCAGGTCCACCTGGGCCCAAAGCTGGAAAGTGCTCTTCCCACAGCATTGCCCTTCCTCCTACTTTCCTCCCTTCTCTATTGAAAAACCAGATGAAAAGGGTCAGCAATGGGCTGTTTCTCTCAGAAACCTGCTGATGGCCACAAGATGATTCTCACATTGTCTAATCCATCGCAGTGGGGTAACAAATGAGTCATGAGCAGGTCAGGACGTGAGCGCTGGCTGCCTGTACCCTCCACCCACCCAGGGGGTTGAGCACCCTTAACGTTCGCCCCCAAGAACCACTCAAGCTACTGCTGAAGCTGAATTGAGAAGTTCTCCACACTGGAAGTCAGAAGCCATGGCCTCTAGAGCTGATGCTAGAACTAAATAGCTCCATGTCTGGACAGTGCATTCCCCACTGGACAATGGGAGACAAACACATTTCTGAGTCCCAGGCCAGGGCCTGCCAACACCCAGCAGAGACTGGACAGTGGTGGTGTGGGTGGGTCAGACGGTGACACAAGAATGTGCATCAGATGAATGGCCTCAGTCTGGGTCTTAGCTCCCCTACTTACGACACCAGATTAAGCATCGTTGTTCTTATCTGCTTCATAGGAAAGCAGAGTTCATGGGAATTTAAATTTGAGAGGAGTTAAAAAAAAAAGATACATTTTTAAAGTGAAATGTTATAACTGTTGTTCTCATTGGGATTTTCAAAACTAAGAATTTAAAGCCACATGGAAGAAATTGAGTGGGGTAAATACCAGTCTGTGCCAGTCCTCAATGAGAACTGCAGAACTGTGGGAATCGCCACACACAACACAAAACAGAGGTTACAATACCTCAATTAAAATATTTTTTTGGACAGGCAGAGTTAGATAGTGAGAGAGACAGAGAGAACTTTTTTCATTGGTTCACTCCCCAAATAGCCACTATGGCCAGCACGCTGCGCTGATCCAAAGCCAGGAGCCAGGTGCTTCTCCTGGTCTCCCATGGGGTGCAGGGCCTAAGCACTCGGGCCATCCTCCACTGCACTCCCTGGCCACAGCAGAGAGCGAGACTGGAAGAGGAGCAACCGGGACAGAATCTGCCGCCCCGACCAGGACTAGAACCCGGTGTGCCAGCGCCACAGTCAGAGGATTAGCCTAGTGAGCCACGGCGCCAGCCTCAATACCTCAATTAAATGCCTCAATTAAAATAATCAGCAGAGCAAAAATAATTTAACTCACGGCAAGGCCCAAAATGGTGGGCTGTCGTTTTCTGGGCACTGGGCAGCCACTGCCCAGTCCTAAGAGGAAGGAAGAAGCCACATCTCCTCCCATTAGAAGCCCATTGGCTGCTCCCCATGAAGTAAATGCCCTGTGCCCTCCACTGCCCCTGTGTCCACAAGGAGACAGCATCCTGCATATGGAGGTGCATCCCCCTCATTTCTTAATGGTTCTGGGGCAATACCTTCTACCCTCACCAGCACCTCGCCCCCTGCCTCCCTCCCTGCACCACTCACATCAACAGCGGTGGGAGGGCTTTGGCTCATGACCTGTCTCCTCAAACTCATACAACTATGCAACCTCTTAAAGCTCTGTGCTCTTCTTCCCTAGCCCTACCACCCCAAGGAATCTGCTAAGGAACTGTCATGAACTGGGGGACCCAAATTCCATGTCACCAGGGGACTCCTGCAGCACCTGCTCTTTCCCATCCCCCTGGTAAATGCCTGCATGACTGTGGACACTGCTGCCAGAGGACCTCTGAGGATGGCCAACCTCCCTCTCACAGCACATCCACCCACAGGTGTCTCTATTCCCTGGGGAGGCCGGCGCCGTGGCTCATTAGGCTAATCCTCAGACTTGCGGCGCCAGCACCCTGGGTTCTAGTCCTGGTTGGGGTGCTGGATTCTGTCCCAGTTGCTCCTCTTCCAGTCCAGCTCTCTGCTGTGGCCCAGGAGTGCAGTGGAGGATGGCCCAAGTGCTTGGGCCCTGCACCTACATGGGAGACCAGGAGGAAGCACCTGGCTCCTGGCTTTGGATCAGCACGCCGGCCATAGCGGCCATTTTGGGGGTGAACCAACGGAAGGAAGACCTTTCTGTCTCTCTCTCTCACACTGTCTAACTCTGCCTGTCCAAAAAAAAAAGAGAGAGAGAGAGAGAATATGAGAATCTATTCCCGGGGGAGCAGAGTCTCTCAAGCACCTGTGCCCCTCCCCGTGGAAGGTGCTGTGAAGGTTCCCGCCTCTGTGCAGGCACAAGCTCCGTGCAGCCCTCGCTCCCCAGGCCGGGCTCTTCTGTGCACAAGGCAGGCTGGGAGCCCCGTTGGCTCTTGGATAGTCCAGCTCTGAAAGCCGCGTCAGTGTTGTGTGTGTGCTTCTGTTAGTTACGAGGTCTCCAAGCAAAGCCGCTCAGCTCTTTTCTCGGTAGAAGGGCGCTGCATTTACGTGGATATTTGGGTCCATCTAGTGGAACTTGCAGCACCAAAATAGAGGCTGGGCCACTCCGTGCAGGAACAAACGGTTTACAACTGGAGAAACTGTCTGCCCAGTGGATGAGCAGCCCTGCTGTCTCGGACCTGCCCAGAAAATGTGGCTCAAGGGACAGTCTTTGCCCTCGAACCAGTAACCTGGAGCCTCCTAAGAAAGGTGTCACTTGCAAAACTGAGAAGTTCCGTGCCTTTTCGTGTTTCACATCAGCTCTCACCTTGCTGTAGGCCCCAGGACAGACCCTGCTCATGTAGGTGGCTCCCGACAGAAACTTGAGGCAAAGTGTTTGAAAAAAACACCCACAGGGCTCCCAGATGCCTCTGGCTGACGGGCTGCGGTGCTTCCTTTATCTTCTCATGCCCCAGTCTCGGGTCTGCTAGTCAAGCAGGGATCCAGCCCTGCTCCCCCCAGGAGGAGGAAGGAAGGGGCAGAAGTGACCACTGCTGACAAAGGCTGGGGCTGGTGCCAGCCCCAGTGTCCCTGTGGTTCTCAGAGCGCGTGATCCTGTGGAAACTCACAGAAACGCTTCCCACTTGGAGCAGACCACGGCAAAGGGGAATTTCAATCACTGACATATTAAGGCACCTGCCTGAAAGAAGGGTGCAGGGGAAGACCCGGCAAGCATTGACCACTGGGCGGAACTTCCTGCAAACACGGCCAGAGCAAGCGCCCCTCACAGCTTTGCAGGGTGGGTGTTCAGTCCTGTGGCTGACACACAGTCCTGTGACAGACAAGGAAACAGGCACAGAGTGAGGGAGCATGGGAAGGTCACAGCCTGACATGGTGAGGAGCTAGGACCTGAACCAAGGCTTCCTTGAGACAAGCGTCTTCTCTTCCTGCAGCCTCAAGACAAACAAACCCACCCCTCACCCGTGCCAGTCAGCCTGGATGCCTCCCACTGTACCAGCACCACCAAGGACCCAGGGCTCGGGGCAGGGGCGGGGGGGCGTCTGTCCCTGAGGCCAGGATTAGGCTGTGCGTCACCCTGAGGAGCCTTCAGAGAGCCCAGGCTCCTGGTGGGAAACACTTGGGAACACCAACATGCAGCAACCGCACTGCTGGATAAAAACATAAAACAGAACACTTTGCCCAAAACTCAGGTGCCTGATGTCCTTGCTTTTTCAACCCTGGGAAAATGGCTCTGTGGACGACAGTGTGGTAGCCGGACCTCCTTTCCCAAGTCACGGTCCAAGAAAAGAAAGAACACACAGCACCTGAAAGGCTGAATCCAGGAGAGGCATGTAGCTAGGAGAAGAATTAACCAGGGAGAGAGACAGAGACAGAGACAGGGAGGGAGAGAGGGAGAGGGAGAGGAAGAAGTGGGGAGAGAAAGAAAAGGTTTAAGGTGAGCTTATTGGGACAGAGAGTGTTCACTTTCAAGAAATTCTCACAACTGTTACTTTTCACCCGTAATGCTGTACTTACTTGATATGTCTGGATATCCGATGATATGTTTGCCACCTGGAAGGCACATTTATATCACAATGTACCACTGGCTTGATCTGAAAGAAGAAATAAGCCTCAGATGCAGTTCAAATCCACAAAGCCTTGTTGAAGATCAACAGCACACACAGCACCAACCCCAAAACATCATCAAGGCTGGAGGGGGGTCCCCTTGTCTAAAGGACATAGGGCAGGGCCCAGTAGGGTCACAGAGAGGGGTGTGCTGGTGGCCGAGAGGGCTGGAGGCTGTATGTTCCTGTCACAGAAAAACTCAGATGTGAAAGAGCAGAGTGTCAGGCAGCCACGGGACAGACAAAAGCCCCACTTGGAAGGCAGGCAGTGCACTCCCGGGCTGGGCCCAGCATTCCTGCAGCAAGCACAAGTCAGCAGTCCACTGCCACAGGCTCTGTGCAGGCCAAATTCTGCCCTCCCGAGAATGGACAGGGTGGACTCTGATTTCAGACCATGAGCTTTAAGCCAGAATGTCCCGGCCAGCAGGCGTGATCCCCTTCCCTGTGACTGCAGCCTGAGAGGCAGAGCCGACAGCCATGGTCTGGTTACAGCTTCAACCTCAGGTTCACCAGGGTTGAGACGCTAAGAACTCCTGAGACCTGACAGAACAGCACACTCCCCCACGCTCACCACCCGCAGGCGCAGACTATGCAGAAAGCAGCGGAGGGAAGGTTCTGGAGAAGCTGACGGCCCCCACGCTGCCCCACACACAGTCCTGAAACTTGTGCAAGGAGGTCCCTCCAGTGCTCCAACCATGGCCACGCTGAAAAGTTGCTGCTCTCCGTGTTTGATCCCAGTCCCCCCAGTCCGCTAGGCCCAACAGCATCGGCTCCTTCCCCTCCTCCCTTCTCGACCCTCCCTGCAGTCCCCCAGGTCCCACCTGGTTGCTCTGCTCCACCTGCTCTGTCATGCCTGCCTGCTGCAAATCCTCCCCGGTCTCACCTGGACGACGGAGACATTCCTTGTCGGGGCCTCACTCCACACTCCCCTCCCACAGATGCCTTTGCCACCCTGATGGCCGTGAGTGGCAGCTCCCACCGGCCACAGAGCAAAGTCCAGACCCCTGCTGCTGCCTGCTGACTTGCACACAGGCCTCCCACGCCATGTCTCCCCAGGCACGCACCCAGCCAGGCTTGGCCTTTTCTCAAGGAGCCAGCAGACCTGGGCCTCGGCTGTACAGCAAGGGGGCTCGGAGCTGCCCCGCTTCCACCCTGCAGGCTCCCTGCCCCTCTCATCTGACACCAGTGGTCTCCCTGTCGGCCCTAAGTAGGACCCATGTCCAGCTTCCTTTCCACTGCTGCCCTCACACCTGCAAGATGTACTCTCAGCAGAAACATGTCAGGTGCCCACTCGTCCTCACCACCACAGAGGTAGGCCTGGCCCCTGTGACGAGCTCCTTCCACACATGACACTTCCATTCTGCAGACCCTCCCCCTGGGGCCTCCAGTCCACAACCCACTGGCACTCAGTGTGGCCACAAAGCCATCATTCACTCTCTGGCTCTGCTTGCAACACCTCTGCTCTCCCGGGCCTGCTGCTTCCTGCACCCCCTCCAACAGCCACCACCACCCCGTGCAGACTCTGCTCCCCGGGGTCCTCCCAGAGCCTGCCCTGCCCCCTGGTCCCTTCTGCTCTCAGACCCTGCCACCCCCCGCCCCGCCCAGCTTCCACACAAGAGCCACCAACCCATTAATACCAGGGGCTGTGTTGAATCACCCAGTTTGAGTAGAAAGTTACCCACAGATCCTACACCAAGACCAACACCACCTGTGTTCTATGGGCTCACAGTGACATAGGAGCAAGCTGCATACACCTCTGGCAGAGTAAGAAAAGACTGATACTTGTGTTTCCCAGAGAACCAGGTTTTAAGGAGGGGAGGGGTGCAGTTGACCTAGCAGTTAAGATTCCCACAGGGTCAGCATTGTGGCATAATGGGTAAAGTTCCACCTGCAATGCTGGCATCCTATATGGTCACAGTTCCTGTCCCGCGTGTTCCACTCCCCCACCCCCAGCTCCCTGCTAATGGCCTTGGAAAAGCAGCAGAAGATGGCCCAAGTACTTGGGCCCCTACCACCCACAGGGGAGCCCTGGCTGGCACTCCTGGCTTATGGCTTGGATCTAGCCCAGCCCCAGCCCTTGTGAACATCTGGGGAAAGAACCAGTAGATGGAAGGCCTTTCTCTCTCTCTCTCTCTCTCTCTCTCTCTCTCTCTCTCTGTGTGTGTGTGTGTGTGTGTGTGTGTCCCTCTCTCTAATTCTTTCAAACAAATAAATCTTAAAAAAAAATCAGACTTGTGTTAGATCCCTGTCTCTGGCTCCTGATTCCGGCTTCCTGCTAGTGCAGACCCTGTGAGGCAGCAGGTTACAGCTCAAGTACTGGGGTCTCTTCCACCCACATGGGATACTTAGATGGAATTCTTGGCTCCTGGCCACCACCCCAGCTACTGTGGGCATGTAGGGAGTGAACCAGCAAATGGGAGTACATTCTCTCCCTGGCTCTCTGCCTCTCAAACAAATTCTTTACAGTATATACACCTGCATACTAATAGTGAGGAAATCAATGCCATGAATATTTATAGACCAAGCCGGAAAGCAACAGAAATCACTGTCTGCACAGTTCCACTGAGACGCAGCCCCCAAGACACAGACACAGCTTTCTGCTCAACTGCACATCACAGAAACAATGAGCTAATTGCTCTTCTGCTGTGTTAATGATTCATTAACCCTGATATCACTGCCTAATTAAATAACTCCAGCAATTTAAGGCACAGTTCTGGATTTCTCCCCTGACTCCACGTCGGCACTACCGAACAAACATGGTTTTCCCTTACTGTCTGATGGTGAGGACCGTCCCATGCACACTCACCTGCCTGAGCTGAGGGCCTAACAGCTAAGACCTCCTTAACCCAGAGAATGAAACCACAGCTGAATCAACGACAGAAGATCCTCGGGGCTGCCATAGGCTTGTTCACCCAAGGCCCAACTATGGTTTCCAGATGCTGACTGGCATTAGGCAGTGCAGTCAACACTTCGTGTGCATTCAAACCAGCCAGGCAAATATCCAGGTAGCCAAGAATCAGAGTGGTCCTCTAATCTCCCTAAGAACACACAGCATTAAGAGCCCTGGTCATGATAGCCATCAAACATATTTCATTGTAGTTGTTAGCAGAACGCATATTGGAACCTGCTCCAGCAGAGCACAGCACTCAGGAGCCTAGGTTTTGAGTCATCCACGAGCACAGCACTGGCTCTGACACTGGCTGTAACCGTGCACGGTGTCATGCATCCCCCCAGCCATTCACTGCTGCATACAACTCACCTCATAACGTGGCTGTTGTCTGTAGGAGAAACAAAATATCAGGTAACATTTTGTCACCTGCTGAGCAGATCTGAATGAGCTGAAACTCAATTGACAGCAGCTGTTGCTTTGATTTTTTCTTTTGTTTTGTTTTGTTTTTTGCTGTTATTCAGCTCCACAGTCCTGGCCCTCCCAACCTGTGGGTTCTGCACCAGCTCCCCTCAGTGCCCTTTCCACAGAAAATATCCAGCAAAAAAGATTCCAGACAGCCCAGCATCAAGAAAAGATCCCATCACAAATGCACACCCAGCAGAGAACATCACGGTCAGCAGACAGCACTCATCTGGGCTACCCAGGATCCCACTGTACAGAGTGAGCTGACAGAACGTTCAGCGGAACAGCTCAGCAGCAGGTGCACAAGCTAGGAGACCGAGCAGGTAAACATCCACAAGGACACAAGACGGCTGCAGGGCACGGAAGCCTGTGGAAAGTGGGCTTTAAAGCTCTCATCTCATCTGTAAGAGGTGGCACCGGCTCAGCCCAAGGCCACTCCAGCTTCTTCTGGGGACACCATGAGCCAAAGAAGCACTCAGGTTCTCTCCCCAGATTGCCTAAGAGTCCCCCTGGGTTACTGTTCTGCAGCGATGGGGTAAGGCGTGAGGGGACAGACGAGAACTCATGCTTCACCAGCCCTGTGTCGCTTCCTGCAGAAATGTGGCACAGCTGGGCAAACCCAATGCCTTCTGCAGCCCTGCCTCCTGCAGCACTGCAGGTTCCGGGGGTAGAGCAGGCAGGTGTGACTATAATGGGTTTGGGGTAGGGACTCCTTGCCTTCTGGGACATGGTGATGATGAGTTTTTATTTTCCACCTTTGGGAAATACTATAGTTCTTTTACCTTTAAGAAAAAAGTTTAGGGTTTTATGAATGACTTGCCCAATTTTCTGTTTCATCGTGATTCTAAAATATGGGATTCTGTTGCACCCCATCCCACCACCCACCTTGGAAAGTTAGGAAGGAAGTGGGGGGTCACTGCTCCCCCAGCCCAGTGCCCCTGACAATATGCCTTGGCTAGGGAGGTCCCTGTTTCAGTCACTTATGTCTCTGTCCAAGACAGGCCTGAACTGAGGGGTGATGGGCCTGCAAAGGGAGTAGTCGGAGCTCCAGGAGCTGCGGGGCCCTGGATCACCTGGGCCTGCAGTCCCATCTCCCTGATGAGAAGACCAAGGCTTGCGGAGCAGTTGCTTCTCGAGGTCAGCACAGTTGCACCAACACTGCTAACGTTAGGAGCCCTGCTTTCCACCTCCACTCTGCCTGCACAGTAACAGGAGTCAGATGCTCACATCTCAAACCCTACCTGTGTTCAGTGATTTATTTCTTTGTGTTGGAAGAGGCTTTGTTTTCTCCACAGTATTTTGTGTTGCCAATGGTCCCCTGTGCCTCTGTTTCTCTCCCTCTGCTCCTCACCTTCTTCACCACCCCAGCAGCCTGAACCCCTTCTTCAACCTGCAGGTTCAGACACCAGCAAAGCTGACCAGTGTCCCTGGAGAGAGCACCCTTCCATTCCAAGACCAGCCAGTGCCCCTGGCCTGATGCTTTGCACGGACTCTAATAACAGCCACTATGAATGAAATCACCAGAAAGGAATAGGTAAGAAAGCCTAAGACCACAGGATGACGAACTGAAGAAGAGAAGAGGTAGGGAGCATGCAAGGGAATGTGGCTTACACTTGGATCAGTTAAATGTTGCCTG